GGGACTGCAGCATTTAGCATGATAAACATACAACTATATAATTTCCAAAAGAAATTGTGATGCTGTGTAAAATGTAAATCAAAACAAAACAGAGTGATTTCCAAATAATTTTAAAAGCCATATTTAAATGAAACCTGCACAGAGGCAACATGTAAAGTGTTGAAAATTAAAGGCCGCCTTTGTACTGTGGTGTTAGATTTGTAGACGCAGCAACAATAATGGCTTTTGAAAGTGTTCCTGAACGTGTGAATGGATTTCTGCTACAGAATCCTTTTTAAAGCAATGCTTTCTGGGTGATTGACGATTGCATGATGTTATTATGCATTATTGGAAAATACATGTTGGTAAATTACATTTAAATCTTTTTTATCTATACAGTCTCTCACATTGAAGCATTTCTTAATCTCGCTAAAACACTCTTTTAAAAAAAATAATTTAATTTGCTTTTGTATTTAGTCTACTGTTGCCCGCAAATCAGCGTTACACAGCACCACAACTTTTAGGGAAAAGTTGTATATAACATGGGTAAAAGTTACCACTATGAGCTCTAACATAGCACTCTCACTTCTCTGAGAGGATGGAATGGAAATCCAGGATGCAAATGAGATGTGACATCAGAGTAAAGTGAGGAAAAATGTTCCTATCTCACAGCTCAGACCACTAGCTCTCAGTGATGAGTGACATGATGACGAAAGATGAGGTGTGAGGGCGCCCTCTGCTGGAGAGACATGAGACGACAATGGGATGACATCCGAATGGGAAAAGATCAGGACAGCACGCTGGTGTTCTGTGAATCCACGTCTTGCATGCTCATGACATCTGTACTTACTCCACTCTCATATATGGGGTTGTCGAAAGCTGACTCTTCTGTCATGTTGTCATACGGTGGCGAGGACATTGGCATTCTGATAGACTTCCCCTGGAGTCTGAGCAAAGAGTACAGAAACAGGAAACATCATGTAAAGCCTTTATTACAAGGGAAACGCATAAAATTTTGAGTCATTACTTACTTTGCAAAGTAGATGTAAATCCCAAGGACAATCACCAAGATGACAGCAGTTGGAATAAATACTGCAAGGGCAATGTTGGTTCCTTCTGTGCCATAATTTGTATTAACAACTTGAAGAAGAAAAAAAAAAGGACATAACATGTAATTACCCCTGTGAATGATTGTCAACAAATAAATATCAATCAATTCTGCAAGGTACTGAAATATGACTTACCATCTAGTCTGCGTTCATTTACATAATGTGTCGAGGACGCTACCAAGAAATAATTGCAGTTTAATGAGTATGTAGACCATATTTATGCAGTGTGAATCACAGTGCATGCTTTATATTTATGGCCAAAAGAATCAAAAGAACCTGCGTTTGTAAACAGCACTTAAAACTGCCGAGATTCTGCTTTAGTTTTTGTATATTTTGACTGTATTTAAAAGCTCGTTACGTGGTTTACCTCTGCAGGCAGGAGGAGTGCTATTCCACTGTGACGGGTGTCCAGGAACACAGTATATGGTGGCATAACCCTGCAGCTCATAGCCGGGGTGGCAGGAGAAAGTCAGCATCTCTCCTGCTTGATAAAAAGCCTTTTCAGAGCTCTGCATGCTGGTAGAAGCTGCACCGGGGTTCCTGCATGGCTCATACTTTTCAGCTGAGGAGCAGAACAATATATTTGATATTAGGACTATTATTATTTTCATGCACCTTTGTACAGTAGAAACAGTGACACATTGTAATTTTTGCCTTTTACTCATAATTGCTTAGCTGCACATCGCTGACAGTGTGGGCGTGCATAATTGCATGTCTGCGAATCTATGCTATTCTGACCGAGGGAACTTACGGACACATTTGGGCAGTCTCTCGTTCCACTTGGGCATAGCTGAATCACGGTTGTAGCAGGTTAGAAGGCTGGAGCCTGACAGGATGTAGCCTTTGTTACAGATGAACTGTACAGTCGAACCAACAGCAAAGCGACTGCCCGTGATCACTTTACGACTGTGCTGCACATTCCCGGGGTCCTGGCATGTCATCACTGGTGCAACACCAAAAACAAGTGATGATAATTAGTTATTACTGCCACCGGTGCTGGTACAGGAGTGATAAAAAGTATAATTAACAAGAAAAAAAAAATTTTTCTTGGGAAACTGGAAAAACCTTTAAAAAATTATGAGGGGCCATTACATATATGCACATTACATTGAATTTGTTGTGCAAAGGAAGTGCATTAAATGTTGTTCCCTAAATGTCATATTAATAACTATTTGCCACATGACAATGCATCCTCATGTTATGTATTAAAGTTGAACAGTCACAGAATAACACAGTTACATCAAACTAACTAATTAACCAGGTATTATGGTAACAAGACTATAATTAGCCATGTTATCATAATATTTAAGCAAAAAGGTCTGAGACTTGGACCAATGATGGCGTATTCTAACTTCCAAGGTGGACTAAAGAGAAACTACAAAGTTTTATGTGCTTCCTCTCACCTTCCTCGCATTTTGGCACATCACCGCTCCAACTGAGATCCCACTGGCACATGAGGATCTCCGAGCCAACCAGTGTGTATCCTGGGTAGCACTGGTAGGTGACCACAGTGCCATGTATGAGATCAGGATGTGACATGCTCTTCCAGCCGTTGGTGATCTCCGGCAGCTCTGAGCAGGTGTCATTCCTTGGCACCTCTGTTGGCGTTGGCGCCATTGGTGTCATGCAGCGCAGGTATGGGAGGGAAGAGACAGGTTGTTAAAAAAGGATTTGCAAAGATTGTGAGGACAATGTGTTACTGCGGATATATAAATATTCTCCTAATAATCCATTTTCTTGTATAACAAACATTTTTTTTATTGTTTAGAGCAGATCTAGATCTAAAAGGAATAATGAGGATCCTCAAGGAAAAAGCCGAGCATTAATATGCAACCCCCACTGCAGGGAATAAATACGACTGCCGATTTTTTGCTTTCTTTGTGCTCTAAACAGAAACTGTTTGGGAAGAAAATGTAAATAGAGGCTTGTGATGTTTCCTAGGAGGAGCGCAGCATGTGGTTTGGCACCAGTCAATCTGTGCCTCCCAAACTGCAGCATACATGGCGGGGAACACAAAGAGTTAGGTAAAACCAGCTGATGTTGAAGTGAACACTTTTATTATGTTTCGTGTTTGTTGTTATTTAATCCTGTGCACCTGGGATAAGCCAGAAGACAGATAGACAAAGGCACAGCAAGAGTGGGGAACAAAGAGACAGGGGAACAAATACACCTTTCTTTTTTTTTCATTCCCTAAATGATGATGTGTTAGGTTCCAGATATGAGTAACATTTTACATTCCACATGTGTTTCCATTTGTGGTCCTTTGCTTGTGGTACTTTTACAGTAAAAAGTATGCAATATATGTAATCCCAAGAGAATTAGAAGAATGTATGCCTTATATTAAAAGCATGTAATATTAGTGTTTTGTTTTTTTTTAAGAGAGAATGAAACTAAACCACCGTCTTACCAAAGAAGTGAACTACAAAGCCATTGTTGTAGCCGTAGATGTTAGTGGCAGGATCAGACTGAAACTGAATAGTGACATCAGCCATGGAGGTATAGAGCTTGAAATGTGGTCGCGTGCCACTGTATTGGCCCAGGATGTTGGCAGTCAGGTCATCACCATCATAGAAGGTCAGCAGGTCATTCTTCCCCAAATGGAGACTGGGATTGACATCACAAAAAAGAGAGTTACTTTTTGTTTGTTTTCCCCTTAGTAACTTTGCAGATTCAGACAGAGTTCCCTGGCTCTGAGGTGTATTTGCTGAGTGATAGGTTTGTAGCATAAACCTATTCGCTGGAACGTTCAAGACAATTTACTACACAGCAAAAGCAAGACAAAAGCAAGTAGGCAAAGTTCTTTGTGTTACTCATGCATGCGTGAGGCCTGCCTGGAGCCAAGTGTCGTTCCGCCCGCTTGACCTCCGTCAGACTCTCAGCCAGGTTCCCTGTAACACTCCTTTTATTGTGGTCACATGAATATGCATATGTTCATTAACATATGACGTATTCACACACACACAAAGAGTACATTGCCTGTGCGTTGTGTAAGTATGTGTGTGTGTGTGTGTGTGTGTGTGGGGTCAGAGTGTGACCCCATAAACAACTTTCCTAAACCTGCTGGCCTGGAAGTCCAGCAGTTCATCTAAACAAAAGGCACTTACACTAAAACTGACATAGCTACGTTTATCCTACCATAAAACAATAAAACAAGGTACGACCTCTTCCATGCTCCCAGGGTGTGGGTGTGAATGCCAGAGCACTCTGGAATCCACACAAAGTCTTTGCAGACTCCTAAGGATCACACATCCTATCACTACACAATCAATTATACACCTCTAAGCATATATGGTTAAATATTTCTAAGCATAAATGACAATCAACAATATAAACCTGACACTGAGAGCTGTGCGCAGAGCTTCAGTTGGTAAATGTGTTCTGTCTCCCTTTACGCTGATGAAAGCACAAGCTGATGATACTAGACAGTGTCAGCAGTACTTGGAAAATTGCAATTTTGTTTATATTAGATGCATCTGATGCAATGTAAACATTAAATTATTCATGATTCATGTCTGTCTGACGCCCCCCAACACCCCACCCCGCATCCCATGAATATATACTGATGTGCATATATGGGTATTTGAGCATATCATCAAAATAATCCAAAGGAATTACTTTTTGAATTGTCCTTTACCGGCCTTTTACAAAAAGCTGCCATACAAGCAAAAATGGAATTATAGAAGGACTACAGAAACAGTTAGAAAAAATAACAGATAATAAATAATGAATAAATACGTATGAATTCAGTTGTACATGTTTTGTGTTGTGTTTGTGATGTTAATGTGTGGTAGAGTATACGGTAGTCAAGTCACAGTTTGGCGGATTCTTCGCTGTTACTGATTAACATAAAAATGCATTAACCTTTTTCCATTTGGAAAATTCATATATCTTTGTAATCATGTCAGCATCAATCAGGCACAGAGTATGAAGAATACTGGGGGGAAGAAATGTAGTCATATAAGCTGTAGAGGACAAGAAAATGGTTGCTTTTACCCCGGACTAAATTTGGTGTCGAAATAGCAGTGCAGCTAGTTTTTACAACTTAACTTGATTGTGTTAATAATCACTGAACTGTACCATTTAAAAATTAAGAATAAGAATAGCACAATGCCTTCAATCACATGCTTCATGGGAGCCCAGCAGTGGTGCCTTTACAGCCATTACCCGTCTCCAATGCAAACTGATGCCAGATCAAGTGACAAACCAAGGGCACAAAGTGTGGTGAGAAAACAGTGCTCAGAGTACAAGTTTCAAATTACTATGCCTCAAAAATGTGCAGTTTCTGTAGCTGCTGTATGTAATTTCGGCTCGTTCTTAAATGGTGTGTCTTTGTCTTTTCTACATGTATTTGTCTGAGCAATAGATTTACAGTAACACTGTACAGATAGCCATATTGTTAAGATATCCAATTCTGAGTCAAGCTCATCTATAAGAAAAGCGACTGTTGTGTAACAACTGTCTGAACACAAACGAGTAAGAATATGTTACAAATAAATAATAATAATAAGCTCTGAGATAATATGCTATTCTCAAATGTTTAAAAAAATCTCATTAATGAGCTGATTATTAATACTGACAAAAAAAACTTTCAAGCAAACATATGCCAACACTCTAAAAAAACAAAAAATATCTCAGCAGTACAATGCTGCGTATAAAGAGCACTGATCTGTAATAAATATTTAATGTTAAAAGATGAATGAAAAGTAAAGTAATAAATTACAGCTTTTTATAGAATTTTTTGCTTTTATAGCATTTTTGTGCTACTTTATGTTTGTCAATGTTTCAAGTATCTCATGCTCAACCAGATTTGATATATGTGACCGATGCACACATGAGCCATTGCAACGACATGACAGGATTTTTTTTAAATCGCATGCTGAGGACAGACAAAATGCAACTACCAGCTGACTTGCTGTTATGATCCCCAAATTTGTTTGCTGTATCTTTTAGCTTCTGGATTATGTTCTTGATTGAGTTTTTGGCTTCAGTTTTGCATTGTTATTTTATATGATGACCTCAGTTTTATGATATTACTGAGTCATAGTTTTGTGGTCACTCTAGCGGTCCTTAAGATTTGAAGCAAAAACATATACTGTGATTGTGCTCACCTTTGTTCAACTTCAAATTATATCACCAAATTAAATACTGTTTTATCCAGTAAATTACTTGAAATTGTCAAACATGCCAACACTGTCACTAAAACCTGCTGTAAATATTGCCACTGCCTGCGATTAGCCTGATATCAGTCTGTAACTGAATGCTATCTGTTTCTGATAATATAGGAATTAAATGATGAATTGTCAAAAATCACATACCTGTTGCTGTTTACATAAACAGAAATCCACATTTGCACCTATTCAACCATGTGTTGTTCTATAGGAATATAAACCAAACAGGCAGTTGAGTCGAGTCCTATCTTGTTGGTAACCAGTTTGCATTTATAAATTAGCTGCAAACTAATTTATAAATGCAAACTGATGACAATCTCTCTAAGAGTGATTGCAGTTAGTCCAAGTCAGACTATGATGTTTGCAGAAAGGTTGCTTCCTATCTGTGCAACTGCCTTGTGATCTTAAGTTGTCATGATGTGCAACACTCTCAAGTTCTGGGCAGACATTCAGTCACCACAAGCTGCAGTAGGTTGGAGAATGTTTAAAAAATTCAATACAATCACCAAGGAGCCGAGGATTTTATGTAGATGGAATAAAGTTGGTGTTTAATTTTCATTCGTCTGACTGAGCTATTATCTTTCTTAGCTTGCTCTGTATTAGGAGCAAGCTTTGTCAAGTATGTCCAGTGTTTGATGGCAATTTGGCTGAGCCGATTTAATGTAAGTTTGCTCAGCTAATGTTATCTCAAGATGGTGGTGCATTTGATGAGCCATCGTGTTCATAGTATCCCCAGAGGTTTTTTTTAATCAATATTTAATAAAATACCAATATTTGGTGTCCCTGTATGGATAAAATTTTGCCACACAAAATACTGCAATTTTATGTTGTATCAATTTTTTCCCCCAGCCCTATTATATTCTTTATATACAGTCCTTATGCATAGTCCTGTCTCCACTTTGGTTTGTCAGAGCATCTGTTGTTCCTTTTTGATGTTCAGACCCAGTTTATACTCTTATTACCATCGTCATGGTGATTGTTTTTGGATATATGTTTTGTTCCCTTTTGGAATATGTTTGGCCATTTTCATAACAGCCAAATAAAAAGGGTTGCTCTTTGCTTATTTCTGGCTTGCCTGAGTTAACATTGGGGTCCTGTCCACATCCACACTGACAATTTCAGCTTTTTTGGGACAAACACTGTAATAGGAGATCAGGCCATGTTATCTATGACTGACTGGGTTTCATAATAAAGGGAAACAAATGACCTCTCTTCTACTCAGTCTTTTACCCAGAACCTCCCCACAGAATTCCTCTGAGAGCAAACAAACTGCTGTTAAAATCAGACTAGGAATAAATCTTGAATATTTTATGTTGACTAACAGTATAAACAAAAAGCAGATCTAATTAGCCCCTCAAGGTTTGCTTCTGTGAAAAATAATGCAAAATAAAATTTTAACACAACATGGCCAGAATGATGGGTAGATTTTTTTTTATGAAGAAATTTGGACAGGGTTTTCCTCCTGGACACAAATAATGAATGTGGGCTGCATGAATTTGGGTGGCAATGTACTCCCTCTGGTTAGCTGGAACACTATGAGGGCAATTTACACCTCCGTGTTCTTTGACAATCGACCACTGTGGATTGAAGTGACAGGAATGACAAAGCCAATTTTCACTTCCAAATCTCCATGATAATACTCTATGGAAATACAGACCTGGTGCCTTCTATGAGGGCATCTACAGGATAGGCAAATAACTTTTTTGACCTTAAACTTTCTGCTTTCTCATAAATCTATTTGAGGAATACCATGAATTCTGCACACACTATAGTGACTTCATGGAATCTTCATTTCTGTTTGAGCTCTTCTTCACCTTTGGGTCATAAAAGCTATCAGTCTTCTCTGCTCTCATGGATTTCCTCCCAGAGTGATGTAGATCTGTCATTTGGTATTAATACTGTGTGATTACATCCAGTTTCTGCATTCTCATCACAAATATATACCAACACCCACTGATCCCTTTTGCCACATACTATAAAATGTTGCCAATGTACTGGCTGTTCTGTCTCTTGTTTTTTTTAAATGAGGCTAGTTTCTAATTTTACTACTTTCAATAATTAATTGATTTTCCTCTTTTTTCCTACTACGTTGGTTCATCAGCACCACGGCCCATATTCTTTGACACTAATGATGTATAGTGAGCTCCATCTCAGCTGTGTTTATCTTTGTGCAAACCAGTGCATCTGAGAAATCTTTCCTCAGAGTTTTGGCAGTAATTTGGTCTTTAAAGTGTTTTAATCAAAATACATTTATCAGTGCCATAGCTGACGTTCTGATAAACAATTAGGTGCACAACTTTGTCTCATATCTTAACGCTCAAAGGCATTGTCAAATCTAAAATTGCCTTTCAGCGGCATTAGGTCCCCTCGAGATCTTAGATATCATGTTCAACACTGTTGTAATATCCAAAAACAATCAGTATTGTAGTGGGCACC